ACTGAATAATGTTTCTTATTTCTTTCATGTTCTTTGGCACAGATCATCATCCAGTCTTCCGTAATTTTAAGGTATCTTTGAAAACCGATCGTTGCGGCTTTGTAAGACATTTCTAGTTGAACTAATCCTCTGCCTTCTTCGGATGTGGACGCATACAGACGATCAATATCAGTCTTAGGATGATACATGCGGATGTAACTGAGAATCTTTTTCGTTTTGACATCCATCCGCATCTAGGGTCCAATTAAGGATGTTGAAACTGTATTACACCACAGGGTATGACTGATATTCTCTTTTGTGAATTCAACTCGGTATTCAATATTCTTTTTTTACCTTCTCCTTCATTTCGTTATGCTGTATTCCATCTCCTTTTCTGACTCTTATGTTATCTATAAGCTTCTTCTTGTTCCAGTTCTCTACACTTTGTGCCCAAATCTAAATCTATTGAGTGTGATTCTATAATTTTCCCTTTCTTGAATGTTACTTTTGCTCTTTATGTAATTCGAAATCGATACCGATGTCATCACTGAAACATTTTACAGTATTGAGGATACCTTTAAACTTATTGTCGTCTTTAGCAAAGATTTTGAGATCATCCATGTAGAATAGAGGATTAAACACTTTCTTGTTTACGTTGTATCTATAGTTATTACTGTTTAGTTCAGACGAAAGGGGGATTAAAGACAGACAAAACAGAAGAGTCACCTTGAAAGATTCCCCGTCGGATATTAAGGCGATTAGAAATGGCAGTTCCTTTGTCGTGATTTAGGTATAACGTGGTTTTCCACAGTCCTATGCTATATTTAAGGAAATTTACTATCGCCGAGGTGATCATGTACATTTCCAAAGCCTTAAGGATTCGTGAGTGTACACAATATCAAAGGATTTGCTGTAATCTATCCACGCAGTGCTGAAATTTCTACGCTTTTTCATGCAATTTTCCAGGATCATTTTATTTATCAACAGTTGATCTTTGCAACCATATGTACCATTCTGATATTGATTCTGTTCCAGGGGAAGAATGTTGTTTACTTCGAGAAAAGAGTAAGTCTCACATTTTGTCGGTACAGACATGATCAATTTATATGTGGTGGACAGACATGTTATTGACCTATAATTCTTTGGCAGAAGATATGTAACACGTTCAGTGATCGATTCAAGAATTTTATTAGATTATTAATTAAAAAGATGGGTACCTTGACATTTCATGGGGATTTCCATTTTGTGGATTTTCATAGAGTTTGCCTTATTGGTTGCTATTATTATTAGCATTATTATTATTATTATCATCATTATTATTATTATTATTACTAAACTCTGTAATATTATATATCATGTTAGCATAAATCGAGAAATGTAGAGTGAGCTGTTCAGGTAGACCATACAAGGTCAAAGAATGATTATGATGATGATGATGACGATTATTATGATTATGATTATTATGATTATGATGGTGATGATGATGATTATGATGGTGATGATGATTATAATGATGATGATGATCCGAGTTTGAATTTTAACCCAGCCTCCTCATTCGATTATTTTTTTTATATATTAACCACTGCGCTAACTCCGCACTTTAATGTTAATTTATCTATGTATACCAATATCAAATAAGTAACATAAGTAAAAGATAGATAGATAGATAGATAGATAGATAAACAGACTGGGATAAATAGATAGATAGATAGATATAGGGTTAGGTAAATGAAATGAATAGATATAACAACCGCATACTCGTGTGCTGCCGTGCGTACACAAATAAACAAATAAATAATTACCAAAATTTGCCAAGATTATAGACATAATTGTTGGTGAGAAAGTGTTAGAATATATATATATATATATATATATATATATATATATATATATATATATATATATATATATGAGATGGGTGACCAAAAAAACGGCAATTTTTTGAAGTGACACGTATTGCCAGACATGAGCAAGTAAACATTTCGCCATTTAGAATTCAAGATGAAATTCACAGTATCCCAGTTGAGATGTTGCAGCAGTCAATGAGGAATCTCAACAGCAGATTTTAAGAATGCATTCGTACAGGAGGACGCCATCTACAGGACGTACGTTTTTTTAAAAATGAAAATTCCATCATTGTTTTTTAAATGACATGTTTTTCAGGTTTCAATTACTATGAATAAAATATTTTCTTCCATCACTCTTGGTTTTATTGGATTATTAAAATGTTCCTGTTTTTGGGGTCACCTTTTATATATATATATATATATATATATATATATATATATATATTATGGAATGTACAAAGTCCGACAATTATTTTTAAGACATTTTTATGTTTATACGTTCTTTTTTTATATGGAACCGTCATATAGCCTGACGTGGTTTAAAATTCAGTAAAATATCTGATTATTGCCTATCCGAAACGCTCCTCCGTTGTGGCTCAATGGGCAAAAGCACTTTAGATATTATAAACGGTTGTGATATAGCACCAGGTTCGATTCCTGTCGGATAACGCATATAAAAAAGAAAATTTCTCGGACATTCAGGCCAGTAAATGTCATTAATACTGTTTATTATAAACAGAGCATTTACTTAAATATCTGTATCTATAAAAAGAACGTATAAATATAAAAAATCTCTTTAAAACAAAATATATATATATATACCTACGTTTGGTGTGTGACTTAAGTTTTGTTCGTTACCCAACCGTTGTGCACGACGAGTTGGGTAACCAACGAAACTTAAATCGCAGACCAGACGTAAGTGTATATATATATATGAAATGGACAAAGTCCGACAATTATTTTAAGACATTTTTATGTCTATACATTCTTTTTATAGATACAAATATTTAAGTAAATGCTCTGTTTTATAATAAACAGTATTAAACAACATTTACTGGCCTGAATGTCCGAGAAATTTTTACAGAAAATATTCGTCCTCCGACAGGATTCGAACCTGTATCCTATACGGAACCGTAATTTATCTTGACGTGCCTTTACCGATTTGGCTACAGAGAAGCGTTCCGTTAGCAAACTTTAAACTTCAATCTTCCATGAATCTCTCACGTACATTCATATCTGCTCATGGCGTATCAAATGTAAACAAATCACATCACACATTATGAAATGGACAAAGTCCGACAATTATTTTAAGACATTCTCTGAAAATGCTTGAAAAAGTGCTTGAAAATCGTACGACTCATACAGCAATCGCTATCACTTGACTTAAAATATTTTTGCCCTTCCTTGCTTTTAAAGGAGTGCCCTTTGTCGTGCTGATGTTGCTACATGCCTTACTTCTTGCCTATCTCACACTGCGATTTTTTTCTAAGCTCTATACTAAACATTAAATTTGTTACGAAAAAAGAACTAAACAAAATGAACACAAAACGATCAGCTTTAAAAAAGGACTCGTAACTGGAAAAACCGAATAAAAAAAGAATGTTAACAACAAATACTTTTTCACACCCAACCCAGTTCTGCGGAATCATAATCAACGTTGAGTTTAAGCAAGCGAATGAGCCAATTGGAGTCAAGTGACATGTAGATTTAAATTTTTCCCAACTTGTGACGAATACAGCTATCGATTTTTTTGCATGCTAGTTAACATTCGTGTCAGTCAGCTGTTGGCTCTCATGCTGGCCAATATAATCTTCCTGTTTATTTGTGGCAGCTAGCTATTGGCTCTCACTCTGGCCAGTAGAAAATGGTCGCAAACTGCATGAAAACTATCGTAGAAGCATGAAAAAAATCGATTATTTCCACTATCGATGGGAGTTGGAAAATGCAAGGTCGTTCTTAGCCTTCCCGCTAACTTGGAGCACGTGCATGTAAATTTTGGTGCAAATCCGTCGAAAATTGCGCCCGTGCATTCGTTACACACACATCCTGCCTTTTATAGATAGAGATATCAGACCACACACTCATCAAGCATGCGCGCACACACACACATTACACACATTTTTATATATAAACCTTAACCATGAATTGTTTCATTTTTCTGTCTCGCTAAATTACTATAAAATTCATCTCATTTTCATCAAGCAATCTATTCCATTTCTCTTGAGAACGACTTGACCATCGCGGCTCTTCTTTGAATGTTTGAATAAAAAAAAGAGAAGTTAAACACTTAAAAGGCAGGTTTTTGTCATCCAATAATCGATTGGCTGCTGTAAAGGCTGCAATTTATCATCTCTCCAGTGAAGTAGATTGATTTTTTTGTTCGATCCGAATCCGGACCAATCATTCAGTTAAGCATTTTGTCTGCATAGATTTTTCTTGGCCACACACAGAAGCACAGAGAGAGAAAGAGGGCGAGAGAGTGAGAGACAGAGACAGACAGACACACAGACAGACGGGAGGACGGACACACACACGCACAGACAAACATACACACACACACACACATACAGAAGCTGAGGTAAGTTATTTTTGTTTTAGGTCATCCTTATGAGTATTTTCATTCGTTTTTCGTTCTTCCATATATTTTAATTAGTTCGCATTTAAGACTATATGGCAAAAATAGGCAAAGAATAGAGTAGAAAGATTGTGTTGCGCCAATTAGATATTCATCTTGATTGTTATACAGAGAGCGATAGAAATACATCCTACAAATATATCCCAGAAATACCCCCCGCATAATGGTAAGTCATTAGTGGCAAAGGTATCTCCATCTAGATAATGTCTTACCATTAAGTGGGAGGTGTTTCTGGGTTGCATATATGGTGTGTTTTTCTGTTGCTCCTTGGGTTCATTATATATGCAGCACGCTTAACTATTTATGCTTCTTTTTTCTTCAGTTACATATACATGTCTCCTTACGATTAATTTTGCATTCATTTATAGTCATTTTTAATTCTTAAAAAAAAAAGTATTAAAAAAAAATTATGGATCAATATTGTGAATTTCTTTCTTCGTTCAACGATAATGTTATTAAACTTATTAGACGTTATGAAAAGAGTTTACATAAAATAAATAGACATCACTTGTCTATATTATTTAATGAAACGTGTATGAATGAAAAGATGCTGCCTAAATACACACAATTTTAATTCTATCTATCTATCTATCTATCTATCTATCTATCTATCTATCTATCTATCTATCTATCTATCGCAATCAGTATCTATCTATCTGTCTGTCTGTCACAATCAGTATCTATCTATCTATCTATCTATCTATCTATCTCTTTCTAACCTTAAATTTTGCGTTGTTTTATAACCAATATACATTGCGGATATTTTTCCATCATTGTTTTTATTCTCATAATATTACAACCTGCATTTTGCTTTTTCTTTCTTTCTTTCTTTATTTTTTTCTTTCTTTCTTTCTTAAAATGTTCAATTCTGCGTTTTGCATTCGAATTTAAATTCAGCGTTTCTATTTACCGGTTTATCTTCATTAAATTCTGAGTTAAATCCTACTTGTTTCATCCAATTTTTGCATGCATCTTTTCTGACTGTCTTTTTCCATCCATCTATCTATCTATCTATCTATCTATCTATCTATCTATCTATCTATCTATCTATCTATCTATCTATCTCAGCCTCTTCATTATCTCTCTATCTATATTATTCTCTTCGTTATCTATCTATCTATCTATCTATCTATCTATCTATCTATCTATCTATCTATCTCAGACTCTTCATTATCTCTCTATCTATGATATATTATTCTCTTCGCTATCTTTCTCTCGCTCGCTCACTCTATCTATCTATCTATCTATCTATCTATCTATCTATCTATCTATCTATCTATCTATCTATCTCAGCCTCTTCATTATCTCTCTATCTATATTATTCTCTTCGTTATTTATCTATCTATCTATCTATCTATATCTATCTATCTATCTATCTAAAAATATCTATCTCTTATCTATCTCAGACTCTTCATTATCTCTCTATCTATCTATCCTCAAACTTATTCTCTTCGCTATCTTTCTCAAATGAAATTTCTTTTTCTCGCAATGCTCTTTCTATCTATCTATCTATCTATCTATCTATCTATCTATCTATCTATCTCAGCCTCTTCATTATCTCTCATATCTATATTATTTCTTCGTTATCTATCTATCTATCTATCTATCTATCTATCTATCTATCTATCTATCTATCTCAGCCTCTTCATTATCTCTCTATCTATATTATTCTCTTCGTTATCTATCTATCTATCTATCTATCTATCTAACTATCTATCTATCTATCTGTTTGTTTTCATTGTTTCCTTTCTTTCGTGGTCTCTTCACTTTTTTCTTATAATAATTTCTTATAAGATCTTCAATATCTATTTTAACCTTATCGTTTTCATCTCTTCTTATCTTCTCCACATTCCCCCTTCAATTCTTCATTAATTCACCCTACCATTTACCGAAAACAGCCACAGGCTAACGTATGTTATAACCGCAGCCGTCACCGGCAATGGCCGACATTATAGTATAGATTCTTAACAATGACAATATCCGTTTAATCTTCGTTGTTTTTTGTTTTTCTTATTTCTACACCTTACTTCAAAGATTTCGATCCACACGGTTATCGTCACTACTTCAGTTGTGCTCTTAATGTATTTGATTCAATATCATCGAATTGATACGTGTTTAATATGCTGTGAGCGCTTTATTGGGCCAAGATTTGCGTCGGAAGCTATCATCTCGTTTTAACATCTTATAGCTGCTGTCTTAACGACCGCGTTGTTTTTCTTTATTTTAAAAATGCAATTTAAAAATTTTATTCCAAATATCTGTTTTCTTTCGCTCCATTTGCTTCATTGGTAATATGTTTTTTTTTATGGATTTTTATTCAATATTATTTATTTCGGATACTTTAAATTGGAGCTTGATAAGAATTTGATTCGAATATCCGTACATTTTTGTTTTGTTTCTATTTCTTCAATTCTTTTTCATTCTTCCCTTCTTTGCTTTCTTTCGTTTTTTTCTTTCGTTCCAATCTTTCATTTATTTCATCCTTTCTTTGCTAATTTCTTTCCTTTTCTCCTTCTTTCTATTTTATTTCATTTATCTTATTCATTTCTTTCTTCTTCCTCAGTTTCTTATTTGCATTCTTGTTTTTTTCTTTGTTTTCGTTTTTTCTTTCTCTCATTCCATATTTCTTCTTTCTTTACTTCTTTCGTTTTTTTTTTACCTTCATCCTTCTCTCCGTCTTTGATTCTGCCATTTTTCTTTCCCTCCCTCTTTCAATCCTTATTTTCTCACACATTCTTTTCTTCGTTTCTTTTTTCCTATCGTTCCTTCCTTACCTTCTATCGTTCCTTCCTTCTTTTCTTTCCTTTCTATCGTTCGTTCCTTCCTTCCTTTCTATCGTTTCTTCCTTCCTTCCTTCCTTCCTTCCTTCCTTCCTTCCTTCCTTCCTTTCTATCGTTCGTTCCTACCTTTCTATCGTTTCTTCCTTCGCTCCTTCCTTCCTATCGTTCCTTCCTTACCTTCTATCGTTCCTTCCTTCTTTTCTTTCCTTTCTATCGTTTCTTCCTTCCTTCCTTTCTATCGTTCGTTCCTACGTTCCTACCTTTCTATCGTTTCTTCCTTCTCTCCTTCCTTCCCTTCTATCGTTCCTTCCTTCTTTCCTTCCTTTTTATCGTTCCTTCCTTCCTTCCTTTCTATCGTTTCTTCCTTCCTTCCTTTCTATCGTTCGTTTCTTCCTTCCTTCCTTTCTATCGTTTCTTCCTTCGCTCCTTCCTTCCTATCGTTCCTTCCTTCTTTCTTTCCTTTCTATCGTTCCCTCCTTCCTTCCTTCCTTTCTATAGTTCGTTACTTCCTTCCTTCCTTTCTCTCGTCCCTTCCTTCCTTCCTTCCTTCCTTCCTTCCTTCCTTCCTTTAGATAGTAATAATTTTTGGAGATAATCAGGATTTACTGATTAACCCATAGCATGAAAACATGTAATGCGAGTTAATGGTAAGGCAAGCAAATGATAAGACAAGCAAATGAAAATGTAACGCAAGCAATTGGTAAGACAAGCTGATTAAAATGTAAGGCAAGCAAATGGCAAAGCAAGCAAATGAAAATGTAAGGCAAGAATTTGGAAAAGAAGGTAGCCAAGGAAAACAAGAAATAAGGAATAAACATCAATTATGGATAGACAGAATGTATAGTCTTCAGCCACAAAGTCTGTGAGTTTCGAATTGAAGAGACCGCAGAAAATGTTTGGTTAACTTTGCTTTCTACTCAGTGACCTATCAACTACTAAAAGGTTATTTAAGGCCAGCTAAAGGTTTTTCAATTGTTGTCTGTTTTAGCTATAGCCTGATGTTATATCTGGATCAGTGATAGTTTTAGGTACAGGTATATATATATATATATATATATATATATATATATATATATATTATTTATATTGTGTTGACAATATATATATATTGTGTTGACAATAAATTAGAATTTTTTCTTCATAATTATAAAATTAAAATGCATATACACTACTATTTTAATGATCTTGCTACAGACTCTTTTCTCAGTTGGATAATCAACCAGACATGCTCGTTAACCATTACTCCATACTATGGCGTTTCTTGATCGATTTTGATTATAGATTAATCTTAGTTTCGCACAATGCCAGAGGAGAAATATGGGGCACTCAGTGAGGATCGGACACACTTTTCAGTAGTAATATCAATCATTCGTGCTCATTAACCATTACCCGATGCCGAGGAGTTCCTTTATCTATTGTTGATATATACTAATATTTGTCTGGTACAAGGCAACAGGTATGGGGCTCAAAATTAGATCTGGCCTCATTTCTCAGATTAGCTAGTTAACCATTACCCCATGCCGAGTCGGCAATATAAAGTCGTAAATTGGTACCTGCCGTTGCTTAGCAAATATCTACGCAGGCATACGCGCATGCGCCACTAGATATGCCTATGAACATTTGTGTGCATTTATCTTGTCCGTACGGGAAAATTAATTAATGTGTATGAGTAGGTGAAGGATCGTGTGAAGTTATTAATGTAGGCCTGCTTGTTTGAATGTGCGTGTCGTTTGTCCCGAAGTCTGTATGTGTACAAATGCAATAATGTGTACATGTCTGTGGATATTGTAATTCTTTGGGCTTGATACGGCTTTATCTTTTCTTTTTTTTATTTACAAATTTATAGCTGGTCTTTCTTTTTATTTGATTTTCTCACGTCAAAACCCAGAAAGAAACAAACCAAAATTACATTATTGTTAGCTAGCTTCATAAATCAAGGCGTTGATTCTTCGTTAACTGACGAAAGCAACAGTATCTTTAAACAATGGACCAATGTCTCCTAGCTTCCAATAAATACCTTCAAGGCAAAACATCTTTGGATTTTTCTTCTAGTTTTTTTTTTTTAATTTTAATTATTTTTTTTTGTTTCCTTTGTATTTTCTCTTCTGTTTTCCAATTGCTTTTATTATATTTCTGTTGCACTTCACATACTAATATCATTTTTTTTAACTTGTTCCCTAGTATCCGTAAATGTTTCATTCGTTATTGGGCTTTTTCCTTTACACATTTATTTTACACGTTCAATAATTCTGATTACAACACATCTCACTCTTATCTTGAACCGATTCTGTCTTCATATATACATTTTTTAACCCTTTCACTTTCTCGTTTTATATACTAGCTTCAAAGTCACTCTATCGGGCAGCATTTAATCTAGCTCCGACGGAGAGCTCTTGATTGGGCCTTTATTACAATAGGTAATGAAGAGTAGCAAAAACTATAGTAGAAAAAAATTCATCGCTGCATTTAAGTATTGTATTAATATTTACGCTTACCTTTTTAAAAGTTCAACGTTAATACTTCTGCCACTACTTAATTATTTAAAGGCAAATTGATGTACGTAGATCCTTACTTTCCATCCAAACAATTATTTTTATTTCATGGGTGGATTTCGAAATTAATTTCGATTATACCCAAATCTATATCTAAGTTATAAAAATTGTTATCGTACAAAAAATCACGTTCAAATATCGCAGAATACTATCGCAGTAATGAAAACTTGGGAATCCAAAATTTCAATTTTTGCAGGTCCGGATCAGGCCCGGAATGTTTTTAATTTGCTCACGGGGCCGTCCTGATTCCAAAATGTTGTGCTAAGGCCTCTAGGAGTAAAGTTGAAGACACGGACAATTTTATTTTGAAACAATGTAATTTGACAACAGTAATTTTTTCATTTGAACATGGGCTATTGAATGTTACAGAGTTGTGTCCCTTTAATTGTTTTTATCAGTAGAAGACAAGATGGCGGAACCCGAAAACAAATGCAGTAATGAAAACTTTGAATCCAAAATTTCAGGTTTGCTGGTCCGGATTCGGCCCAGAATGTTTTTCATTTGCACACGGGGCCGTCCTGATTCCAAACTGTAACATGTTGTGCTAAGGTCTCTAAAAGTAAAGTTGAAGACACGGACAATTTTATTTTGAAACAATGTAATTTGACAACAGTAATTTATATATATATATATATATATATATATATATATATATATATATAAAGTCAAATCTTAGTGACCGAGCACTTTTTTTGCTTGAAGTTATAAGCTCAAGAACAGTGACGCTATTGTACATTATGGTATTGAGCGCGTTTGTGCCATACCGGCAAACCTTTTCTGGTGGAATTTTTCATATGTTTTAATTTTTTTTTAATTTCCGGCTATTTTGATCATATCCAAATAAGTTAACCTACACTTGGCGTATTTAAGGGGGGGGTAACCATCTTGGACTCACCTGGTGATATAAGGCTTCCTATTTTACTAACTTCAGCTATCGACCGCCTGATCATTACATGAAAGCTCATGAAACTAGATTTTGACTCATAATTTATTAAAGTTCTGCCATCATAACTGAGCACTCTTTTTTTTCTGTGTATTATCTTAGGCAGACTCTTTTGGAAGCTGTTTATTCTTATCCCTAATTATACAACACATACATATATATATATATATATATATATATATATATATATATATATATATATACAAATTCTATTTTACAATGTAGAGGAATCTATTTTTGTTATATTTTTATTCCAAGAGATGATAATATGAGCATTTTTAAACATTTTTAAAAATTTTAGAAAATAAAAATAAAAACATTGAGAAAATAAAAAAAAAATGTTCTAAAAACATGTTGAAAAATAAAATAAAATATGTTAAAAATGTTAAAAAAAATGAAAACAATTTAAAAAATGTCTTATTTCAATCTCTTATAGTAAAAGTATAATATATATATATATTATATATATAAATATAATAATGTACACACACACAGACACACACACACACACATATTTGCGTATTTGAGCAGCAATCTGTCTTTTATGCAAGTTTCGTTAAAAACGACTGAGAAAGTACTACAGTACATTCTCTGTTAGCTGCCGTGTCATATTATTTAATAAGTGTGTATTTGGCCAGCAACCCTTCTTTTATACAAGTTTCTGTAAAAGCGGCTGACAAGGTACTACGAAATTTTTCTTCAGGGAACTGAAGCCAGGAAAGCATCCACAACACAAGCCCAAAAAGAGGATAATCTAAATGCATTGCACATGGCTGTGCATCACTGGGAAGAACTGGCATCAAATCGTACAGTTCCGAGGCACTTTATTAGGGAGGGTTGCGACGCCTTTGCGATTCAGGCATGTCACGCGTGATCTCCGAAGAGGCACTCTGATTTGTCAGCTAAATGCAGTCTTGGATATGTTGTGTGTGTGATCGCATGCTATTGTCGAGGGCAGCTTATACAAACCACATGAAAGGCCATTATAAGAAACAGAAGTAAGTCAGCTATGCCAAACTCCCTCATCTTCATGCAATTGTGTTGTTTGCATTAAGGTTTGCGATCATCGTCTGGACCGACGTGGTACCCAGTAGAGTTCTAGGGCATGCAGATCCAATTAACCCAATTAAGGATACAGAGTTTTTTTTGTTGTCATATATGCATAGTGACTATGAAATCGAATGGTGTATCTTATGGGCCATGAACGCTGAAACGAGACGGAAGTCTTTACAAGCGATGCGAAGGGCGAGGAGGCGGTTCTCATTTGAGTAAGATGCGGTAATCGCTAGGTGTGTATGTTATCCATGCCAAATGATGTACTCTTTCCCAGAAATCGTAACTAATGTCTGCTCAGTAAAATTGCAGTTTAAACAACAAGTCACCTCTGCGTGATTTGAAAAAAAAAGCAAAAAAAAGCAAATGTATCTGAGCATCTTCCTGCAACAGGGATTTGTTAGCCGCACTAACAGATGTTTATTCTCGGGCTAGAGAATCTGATACTCACAGGTCGAATAGAGGGGGATAGAGACAAAGGAAAGCAACGCATGGCATACCTGGTAGGCTTAAAGCATATTGATGACAGAACGTAGTCTTAAGGAGTTAGCAGAGGCACGAAACATTGAAAGCTACAAGAGATAGGAGGAAGTGGAGAGCCATGATCGCCTACGTCCTGAAAGGACACGTCACATGAAAAGAATTCTCGGAAACGAATAGTCAGCATTATTATTATTATTGCTTTATATATCTTTCCCTTACATCTCTCCT